TGGGACAGCCTTCGTCGCGTCGCTGTGACGTAATCAGCCTTAAAATGCGGCCTTTAAGGCTGCAGACGCTGAATTGGGATACAGCCACACAGAACAGAAGGAGTACGAAAACCAAAACCTAAGAACTAGAAAACCATAATGAGAACAAGATAAAAAGTTCAAAACACCTGGTCAACAACCAGGTAGCCTAACAGTTACTCATTTAACTCTTTTGGGGGGGGGGGGTTTGATTTTTAAGAAGAGAGTGGCTCTGATATATTTATCATTACTTATTTATTTATTAAAATGTAAAAACAGAAAACTGAAATTGTGTCACATCTGCTTAATTTTGTAAAGCTTGTAAAGCCACAGACTTTTACTTGTTTTCTCTCTCAGGCTCAGACCAGCACACATTACATCAAACTCTTACAAGTCAAGAAAAGGAGCTGTTGGACAGAAAGACATCAACTGAGTGGGAAGGATGTTGGTTTTCCAATATATTAGTAATTGTCAGTGACGTTTATATTAATCAGGCTGAACTTTAATCATACTTTAGATCAAATCATTTTGCAGATCATCAGAATGATGGTTGGCTATGCAAACATGGCCAATAATGACAGTTATTGGCCATGTTTGCATTGCCCTTTTTTAAAATGTACTTTCATGACGTTATTGTGTGTCGGGTGGTGGTCGGGGCTGTCCAGACTGACAAGTGGGACGTTGAATGTCACCTCTCTGACGGAGGAGGAGCCTGAGATTGTGGATTTTTTTCTAATCATATTTGCATACAGTGTTATATTAATATAAGTGTCGTTCTAGAAATGTCATGGATGATAAAATATACTGTGAGTTTTTTAAAGTAAGTTACCACTAATTGACTCAAGGAGGGGGGCTTAAGGGGACATGTTTAACGCTCTTACAACGCTGTGATTGTAGCCACTCCCCAACTCTGGTTATTGATCAATGGTCATGACAGGTTGCATATTGATGAACATGAAACTGACCTCAGTCCATTGTTCCTTCAGTGGGCCGTTTCAGTCATTGTGCAAATGCACCGTTTTATCAGGACCCTCACCATGGTGAGGGTCCTGTACAGCCCAAGAGAGCGGCAGCAGCTTCCCTTCGTGTTTGCTTCTTGGCGAAGAAGAAAAGGCCTTTCACAGATTCTGAAACAGTGAAATACTGCATGCTGGCCGTGGTGGATGCGGTGAAAAGTGATGAAAAAATTAAAGTGTGACATCTGCTATTAAAAACGTACCCCTGTAGGACAGTTCAAATATTCGTAGAGTTGAAGTTCTGGCGTCAGACGAGTTTGAAATGCTGTTAGATGACCTGAAGAAAACTGATGTAATGTCTATAGCAGGAGATCACAGACAGAACTGATAATGCACAGTTGTGCCTATGTCCGTTTTTTGGATGGGAAATTGCTCGGCTTACTACCGTTAGAGGAACACAGCTGGCCAAATAATGTTTGAGAAGATTTGAGCTCTTCAGGAAAATGGTCTGGATATGAAGCATGTCTGTATCCATGGCAGGAAAAGTGAGTGGTCAGCAAAATATTTTAATTTGAAAGGGAATTATCAAAATGTTTTTTGTTATTATTATATTTCAAATGTGCAAAAAATAGTTTAGTTATAGCTCCCTTTTTTTTAAATGGACCTTTTGGTGTGCATTTGCGAGGTCACCAGATTTACAGGGGAAAGGAATGAAAAAAAATTACTTGTTTTCCATACAGTTGTGTGGGTTTGAAATTGATCATGGTCTGCTGCTCACTGGCTTCATATACATACATCCCAGATAAATTCCTCGGTTTGATAATCTGGCCCAACTAACTTCGTAGTTGAATAGCCATGCCTTAAACATACAGACGACTTCTGTTTGTGTCCTTTCACCCTCTTATTTGAGCCAAGGTCAGACACCAGAACCATCACATCGGTTACAGCTTCGATTCAGTTCATATGCTGCTCTACTTCATTTCTCATTAACAGTCTGCACTTATGTTTCTGATCTTCTGCAGAGCTCCTGTCCATCATGTTGCTGTCCTGGTACAGTGATGCTGCCCTCTGCTGGACACAGTGGAACCACATCAAGCTCTAAGACTGAAAGTCTAACCAGTTCCTGGTGTTAACAGGAAACAAACAGTTCTTTATAAAGCTTCAAGTATCAAATATTCACAGTGAGAAGGTGAAACAAGTCATGTGGTGCTGAGTCCAGGTGTCTCCATCCACAAGCAGAAATCATGAACCAGCAGCATTCCTTAACATCAAAATATTTATTGGATGAACACGATTAAAATCCATCTCGTCCAATCAGCGTGTAGAACAAAAATTACAATATATACACTCTTTTGTATTTACAGCAGCTGAGGCGAGTAGCCTGTAACGGGAATAAAACCTGAAGCAGGACGAGCTTCATCGTCCAAACATCTCCTGCGAGGCGTAGGTCATGTAGAGGAAGCCGTCCTCATCCTGGTGCTGTTTGTACACCTGAGCCATGGTGAGCGACATGCTCGCCAGCCCTCTGTTGTTGATGAGCAGGTAGAAGGCCTGGCTGGGCAGCAGCGCCATGCGGTTCCTGAGGGGAGGAGCCAGAAGGAGCCACCATTAATGAGAGTCAGCCTGCAGGCTGTTAGCTGCATCAGCACAACAGTGACGCCAGCACAGCTGTTCAGTGAGGCGAGCACGCGTCAGCCATGTGCAGATTCCAGCTATGATTAGAGCATTTCAAGCATTCGTGCTCACACTGGGGGGAGGAGCACATGGAAACTGAGCGAGGGCAGAGTTTAAAGTAAAGCTTGTACAGGTATTCATCTGTCAGAGCCAAGATTATGCAAAAGCTCCATTTGTCAGACTGAGGAGCAAGTGTGTGATGAGCGACTGCAGCTGGAGCACCGGCTTCAGTAAAGATACGATCATGTACCACAAAACATGAGACGATCCAAAACATTTGCCCCTAAAGCCACAACTTTGACCCTCTGATCAGACTCAAAGTAGAGCCCAAAACTCATTCACTCACAACAAGATTTGCTTCAGCGTCTATATTCATACTCTGAGGGAATCATCCAACCGTTAGATGAGCCAATTGCTCTTTCCCTTGAGGTTTGATATCCAGGCCTCATTTCTGACAATCAGGACAAGTCACTAAAGCCAAATCAGCCCATCAGTGAACCTGAGCATGTGGAGCTGGTGTGCAGCTTTCTCAGGAAACTCCCACAGAACTTTATCGACACCCAGACGTTACAGTCAGTGGGTACGATTGTGGGGCAGCGAGGCTGAGACACCAGACCTTTGTGTTCTTAAAATAAAACTACAGTACGTGTCTTTATGTTCACATGATTACAACTACTGAAAACTCAATGTTCCAAATGACAAACAGTTACTGGACGCAACTCAGGTTCTGTGAGTAGACAGAGCTCCTCGATTGGCTTGAGCAGCCAGCCTGTGCGCTCTCTGCTCGAGTCAGGTCACTGAGTGATAAAGACTCTCGCAGACATTACAGAGGTCTAAGGTTTGACAGACATGGATTAACTGTTAAGACATCCTGTCACTTCATGTTTACACAGCAGCTTCCTCAGGCCATCATGGCCGTCACAGATCCTGCTGTGTAAGCATAAACAACAACAGAGGGGTCGATAAAAGTGAAAGAGCAAAAGACTCCAAGTCAGGGGTGTCCAACTCCAGGCCTCGAGGGCCGTGTCCTGCAGGTTTTAGATCACCCTGGGGCTTCACACCTGACTCACACGATGAGTTCATTACCAGACCTCTGGAGAACTTCAGGACATGTTGAGGAGGTCATTTAGCCATTAAATCAGCTGTGATGGATCAAGGACATCTAAAACCTCCAGCAGACCGGCCCTCGAGGCCTGGAGTTTAACACCTGTGCTCCAAGTGAGGGGGGGTAGGGGGGGGCGTAAGACTCTGGAATAAAAGCTTCTCATTTTTA